CAGAGAACCGGTTGTTAAATTATTTGAATCCCACCACTGGATTGTGGGGTCCTTGGTGATCTCTGAGCTTGGTGGCTTTCTTGCAGACTTTTCAGGACCCAAATAAGGAACATCATCAGGGCTAGAAGGGAGGAGGAGGAGGAGGAGGAGGAGGAAAAGGTTTGTGGGAGCCTTGGTGATCTCTGAGCTTGGTGGTTTTCTTGCAGACATTTCATGACCCAGCTGGGGAACATCATTAGTGCTAGAAGAGAGTGGGGTTTGTGGAAAGGAAGAGGAGGAAGGAGAAAGAGGAGAAGGAGAGAAACTGCATGGTCCTTGGTGCTCTCTGATGTTGATAGTATTTTGACATACGTTTCATTACCAAACTAGGTAACATCATCAGTGCTGATGTTAGAACCAAACTCCACTGTAGCACCGAAGGTGTTATCTACTTCAGCTGTAAAATGTCTGCAGGAAAAACCCCAAACACAAAGAGTACCAAAAAACCCTACAGTTCAACCCTGAGCTACAGGTATTCTCTTCTATCAATTCTTCATGTCCCACCTTGCAACCACAGGATGTCAAACGTCTTGGGCCAGTCCCTTTTTCTGTCTTGGATTGTTGGGCAGATGGTAGAGAGTTGATTGTTGGAAGACTCTTTGGAAACAATCTGCACGTGTTTGTTTAACCCTCTCGATGGCTTGGTGCCCTTTCCTTAACGCATTAGATGTTCCAACGAAGACCTTCTGGACCGCTTGTACAAGAAGAACATGGTGACAGAAGCAGAGGTGAGAATTCTTCCTCCTGTGTTTTAGGACCAAAGATTTTAACACAACAAGGATAGTTGAAGTCAGTTGGATTCCTTCCCCGGCTCAATTCTTTTCCAGTGTTATAGAATTAATTTCCCCAGCCAGTCCGATATTATTTGTAGCTCAGAGTTGAATTGTGGCATCCTTGATGCTCTCTAAGCTTGTTGTTTTCCTGCAAACATTTCATGACCAAACTAGGCAAGCTCATCAGTGTTAGAAGGATGTATGTTTAACAGAAAGCAACTCTCCTCCCTTCTAACACTGATTATGTTACCTAGTTTGGCCATGAAATGTCTGCAAGAAAACAACCAAGCTCACGAAGCACCAAGGACCCCATAATTTTCAGTCACCTGACATTTTACTGTCTGAGGAAGGCAAGCACAATACGGGTAATACAAAGAACTTCAGAATTAGAATTGCAGGAAAACAGAGTTGGAAGGGACCTTAAAGGTCTTATAGTCCAACCCCCCTTGTTCATACAGGAGATCCTACAGCATTCCTGAAAATGGCTGTTCAATTTCTTCTTAGAAAACCTCCAGTGAAAACCAGTGGAATAAAGTAAATAAGTAAAAGATGTCAATGAAGTAAAAACTTTTTTTTAAAATAAAGTTTTTTATTGAACACAATAAAATTTCCCTGCCTTGTTTTTTGTTTTTGTTTTTTGTCTTCTCTGTGTTTTGATTTTTTTCTTTTCCCACTGGTGTGGGCATGTGTTGTTTAAGTAACAAAATTAAAAAAAAAAAGATTTATAGAACGGAGATTAGAATTATGCATGGAAACTGTAACAGTGAAAATGTCTATACGATTAAAAACAAAGCAATATGGATGGAAATNTGAGGACCCGGATTGTTGTTGGGGGCGATATGCTGATTCTGTAAACCGCTTAGAGAGGGCTGAAAGCCCTATGAAGCGGTATATAAGTCTAACTGAGATTTGCAGTTCTTTGTATTTTCCCTTTTTTCCTCTAGCTCTTTCATTGAAGGTCTATGTGGATCCTCAATCGGTTTTCTTTGGAAAGCTTTTCCATGAAACTTCCACTGGCTGATTCGTATTTATGAGTCAGTTTATTTCATGTGTCATATTATGAATCAGTTGCTCATGAATTACTGACTCATATTTATGACGGTTGTCCCGGGGTTACTTTATCTCCTTTTGCGACCTCCTGACAAAAAGTGTCAACAGGGAATCCAGGTTCACTTAACAACTATGTCACTAGCTTAACAACTGCAGTGATTCACTTAGCAAGTACGGCAAGTAAGTTTGTAAAAAGGCTCAGAACTCACTTAACAACAGTCTTGCTTAGCAACAGAAATTCGGGGCTCCATTGTGGTCGTAGGCTGAGGACTGCACCTATTTGATGGTCCTACCAGTTCTTGCTTGGAAGGCAAATAGAGTTTCTGTCATTTTGATTCTTATTCTGATTATTTGTAGACAAGAAAAGCCAAGAGGCAAAGGAGAGAAGCCCACGAAGGAAACTTCATTCTTTCTATGAGGTTAAACAGGAAATAGGAAGGTAAAAAATGACCTTTTTCTCCTTAGCATCCACTGTTATTTTGAGGGGGAAATATAACACCTGGGAACCTTTTTTTGCTCAAGCTTTGAACTTATTATTTTATAATCTGAATATTTAACGGTTTTCAGGGGTTCCTTCAGCATTCTCAAGAGAGTCATCCATAAAGCCAACCGCGTGGCTTGTGCGGCGAAATTCATCCCGTTGCGAAGTCGAACGAGAGAACTGGCTTATCGGGAGAGAGATATTCTAGTCCAGCTTTCCCATGATCGAATTACTCAATTACTGGACCAGTTTGAAACACGGAAGACCTTAATTCTTATTTTGGAACTGTATCCTTTTTGCCCCTGAAAAGAAGAAGAGACATGAAAAGAGATGGTGCTAAGGCACTAGTCCTCAGCGTTCCTTCCTTGCCAAGGTGGGATAAGATCAAGAAACAGGTGTCACAAATGCACTGTTTGTAAGAATCTTGAAAGTCCTTCCTCACTCCCCTGTGTTTCTCAATATGGTGTCAGCTGATGGAAGAGAATATCTGTAACTCAGTTGAACAGTAGGGCCCTTGGTGCTTCCTGAGGTGCTGGTTTTCTTGAACATGTTTCATGACTCAATTAAAAAACATAATCAGTGTTTGCAGGGAGAGAACTGTGAAGAGGAGGAGGAGGAGGATTGTGGCAGTGATGGGATTCAGCCGGTTCGCACCTATTCGAGAGAACCAGTTGGTAACTTTCTAAGTAGTTCAGAGAACTGGTTGTTGAAATCTCCTTTTGTTTTTTTCCACTTTACAGGGCTAATCCTGT